TATAACATTTTATAAAGATAATAATTAAGTATTCTATTAGAATTTAATGATTATACTAATTATATTTTAGATTTTTTATATTTAAAATGAGATGTTTATTCTGTATTTGATTGTGTTTATCTGCAGTTAGTTACACGAATTCAGATATGGGATGAAATTGGATAGGGATGAATGGGTTTAAGAGTTTTTAAGAGTTTTAAGAGTTTTTAAGAGTTTTAAGAGTTTTTAAGAGTTTTAGCCAAATGCTTTATAATATAGTATAGATATATATATATATATATTATCATATGATATCATATCAAACAAATATAGTAAATACCAAAAAAATATCGTTTAAAATATATAAGATATATACACATATTAATAAGGTTGTTCGATAAATATATGTATAATATTCTATCAGATACGACATTTAAAAAAATAGATACTCGTAACAAAAATTAAACTAGAATGTAATAAGGATCTTTGAGATTAATAATTAGTAATGAAAAAAAACAGATTTTATTTGAAAGAATTACTGTATTTATTTTAATTATGTCTAATCGGAAACACCTGTTTAACAACCATACTAAACCGAAACAATGTTTTACTGCTAAATATCTTTCATTGACGATCACAATTAACTGAAGCAAGATCTAGATTTCGTTGAACCGAGTCTTCACAAACTGAACCTACCTAGCTAGTTGTCGTAAACTAGCCAACTTACAAGTTACGTAACCCTCAAAGAACCAAAAAAAAAACCCGAAAATAATAAGAAGTCCACAAAAACGATCATCAAAACCTCAAAAATACCATTTGAAACGCAGCTTCGAATGGAAAATGGCTTGCTCGCAACGTACTTCTAGTTCTTATTTCCCTTGATTTGATCATTTTCGCCTTCATAAACTCGTTGCTTTATAAAACACTTCAACCCTACAGTAAACGTTAAAAACAATCAGTATTTACTATTTAAACTTTGATTGGCTAATGAAATTATTAGAAGAGTACTTGCGTAATGCAGCGAGATGTATTTCAATTTCAATGTTTCATTTTATTTTTTTGGTCTATGTCGATGTTATAATACGAATTTATATGGTTTTGAGCAAACAATAATGTTTTCCTTAATAAAATATAATTTTGAAGATATCATAAAAATTTAATAAAAATCTTAATTTTTTGTGTAATTTCCTTAATTCAATTTTTTTTTATTATAATTTAATTTAGGTTTAATGACGAAGTAATTTATTTTTGATTTAATAATATAATTTTTATAAATATAATAACTAAGTATTATGTTAGAACTCGATACTTATTCTAATTACATTTTAGATATATTTAAAATGAAAAATTTATCTTGTATTTGATTATATTTAGTTACACGAATTCTAATATGGAGCCTAATAAGTTATATTTATGCACAATTTACTTGTAATAATGAATTTTAAGTAATAAGTATTAATAAACAATACTTTATATATAAAAAATAATTTTTATCAAATATTTTATAATATAATAC